GGACATCCCCTCAAGAGCCAGCATGATCAGGGTGGGTGTTCTAGAACCTAGAACACCTAGAGGGTCAACACTGTAGATAAAATGTTCCTAATTCTTTCTGTAACTGAGACAAATGAAAACACAAGTAAGAAATAAAAATGTATTAACTTCAATTGAATTCCTTCCACACTAATACCAGGCTTAAATGTGTTCTTCTGTTTCATACGGAAAAAATGAGTTGCTCTTCTGGTTGCTCAAATTAGTAAATGATTAATCAAATAGATTGTTGACACTTGATCAACATTCTGTGAAGCTTCTCAGTCATCCAGGTCATGGTCAAGCTAGAAAGGTTTAGTAAGGCCACTGACCTGAAGTTGAACTTGATTGACAAACCACAGGAAAAGGTACATTTAATGAGTTTCCTAAAAAAACATGCTGGGACTGAGCAGTGAAAGCGGAGGAAGTCCCTATCGTGTACAAATGGATCCGCACGAAAAGCTGAAACGTGCAAAGAGCAGTTACCTGACCACAGGAGCAGCAGGCCGAACGCGAGGAGCCGCATTTGTGTTTCGCCCACGAACACACTTTCACCCGCGACAGAACACACTCGACAGACGCTCGTAGAGGTGTGTAAGAAAACTGAAAGTGTCCCAGCGCGCTGGACGTGCCACTGCGGCTGCTTTGGTGAAGTTGGTTTCCAAAATATTAAGAACACCAACCCGCCCCCTCCACCCCAAAATAAACAAACGTAGGTCCGGTCAATGTTCAAATACACACAGATGGTGTTTAAAAGTGTCCAGGCTTAATTTGATATGACCTAAACTAGAAATATTCTGCTTTTTGTGTACTTCATATGTCTGACAATGTATGCTCTGATGAGTTTTCTTGTCTCCATCTGTCTGAAATGAAAGCATTATTATTCCACTGACCGTCCTTAACAACAACAACCGATGGGGCTTTTATCTGCATTTCCATCTTCTTTTCTGAATTTAAGTGTCATTTTTCATTCCTCTCTCACCAACCTATTCCTAACAACACCCCAATCTTCCCCTTGAGTTTGGCTGACAGCAGAGAAGGCCACTGATTGACCAGGATGTCACATGACTCGACGGGTCCTGCATGCAACTTCTTTATGAAAACCTCTGTTAGAAAGAAGTGGCAAACCTCAAATGTCCGATTCTGGGATCACCAACATTGTTAATGCTAAATACACAAACCACCAACCACCATGGCTCAGATGCTTTACCCTCACGTCCTCCATTGTTATGTTCTGTCGGTGTCGCAAATAAATGACATGAAGGGGTGGTTTAAGACCTTATTTTTCTGGAAAACCAGCTCAGCCGAGACAGGTATATATATATAATATATATATATAACGGAGAAGCTCCATTACACTTGTGCTGGTGAGGAATATGGAAAGTGTGATGCTAAATAGATCTGTTTGCTACAATTCACATAGGGTTAAAGACTAATTCTATTATAGTTTATATTCTCAAAAACTCAATAAACATTTGTTTCTGTCACAGATCATGTAATTTTTGCAACTGTTTAAATCTTATGAGTTTTCGCACTTAACGCAAAGATCAGGATTAACGTAAATATATCGTTTTCTTGATTAAATGTGTGATAATCTTGCTATTTTTTTGGTACTTCAACTTAGTTTTCATTCAGTTCAACTTAGATTTCAGTAGATAAATCCTTAGAACTTGGCAAAATTTTGAAAATCAGAAATGAAAAGTTGATGAAAATTAAGATTTCTACAGATTTGTTCTTGAAAGTTCAAACTGGTTTGCCACAGATGGGTTCGTATTATCAGTGCTGTTTCCTTTGATCCCCCAAAGCAAAGAAAAAGAGGAAGTAATAACCTCGTCAAACGAACACACAGTGATTAAAAGCTATGTCTGTGACATACAAAGCCCCGCTCTGATCAAAAAGAGGATGCAGTACTCTGTCTTTTAGCTTTGATCTAGATTTGACTGAGGAGATTAATATGAAATATACAGTTTGAGGCTGTTATTGCTCTCCTGAAAGCAGATCCGTTTTGGTAAAAATCAGAACTCTATAAGTCTTGCCCTCATACAAAAAAAAAGAAAGAATTCAAATATTTTTTTGTAAAATTTAGTAGAGATACATATACTTTACTCTATTCACGGGATAGAATTTTTTTTTCCTTAAGAAAGACTTTGTAGCACGTTTTGTGCCATCGCAGACATTTACAGAACATGTCTACTCTCTCCTCACACATCACAAAGCATCTCCATCTCACAGCTGTTACTCCTACAGAAGCCCCACCCAGCATGCAGTGAGCTTTGATCCTCCATGATCAGATTGGATGATTGTGCTGATTATATGCAAAGTAAAACAAAATAACAAGTAGTATAAGCCTGTTAGCTTGAGGTGTCGTGTTTATTTTTTGCTATGTTTTTTTAAATCACAGGTGGAATCCTAATGCATTTCTTAAACCAGTATGAAAGCCATTCATGCCACCACCTCCAATTGGGTGTTGATAATAAAAGTGAGCAGACAAACCCATCCATTTCCCAATACTTGCACAAGAGTAACTTAACTTGCAAAATAATCATGAAATGTGGAGTGATGGTTAATGATGTGGACTTTTTAATAATAAAATATCGTCTTACACAAGTCACAAATATATACAGCAGTATTCACAAATATGTTAAAGTGTCCTCCTTTCACATAAATCCCATAGCCTTGTATTTAAACATGTATTGTAGAACAGCAATAACACCTTCACTAGTCGCCATTTGTATATCCCTGTGCGCACCATCTTTAATCATACATGTTTTCTTCTCACGTCAATTTTGCATCGAAGTAAAATATCTTCCTGAATATATACTGTATGGCTGTAATACCTGCAGTCACCCATAAAAAAGCATAAAAGTGCAGGACAAGATAACTTGTCCCATAAGGCCACAGCCAGACATAGTTTGGCTTTAAAAAGAGTCAGAGGCAGAGAGAGTAACTTACAACATCACAAACAAAAGTAAATATTTGGCCAGCGTAAGCAACGGGGCCCAAACGTTTTGGGAAAACTGTTTTGGTTTTCACAGTTTTGACAACAACAAAAAAAACATTTTTTAAAAATATTCCTGTTTGGGCAGCACCAGCTCTGACTCTGAGGCTTCCCAAACGCCTGCCTGCAGATCTGAGCTTGAGTGAAATTTATGGCAGAGCTTTTCTTCTTCTTTTTTTTTTCCTCGTTCCCTCCCTTCTTTGTGGGAGGAGAGGTGAAATCCAGTAGTAGTCACAAAACTGTGCATCGTAAAAATGTATTGTTCTATAAGGGACAAAACGTTTTGGACAATAATTCGTGACGACCTCGTGTTTGGATTGATTTCAAACACGAGGATTCCACATTTCCAGTGTGAGCCTTCGGTCTGAGCCGTCTTCAGTTTTGATGAAAACGTCCCTTTCACGAAGTGGCAGATGCGTCCGGCTCTGCGTGGGCAGCTACAGATGTACTGCTAAGACAGTTTGGTGATGGGGAACTGCATGTCCCAGCCGTTGTGAGCCACGTTACCGTTCTGAGTGCTGAGTTTGGCGTTTTTAAGATTGTAGCGGCGCATCTTGGTGTTCTTGTAGTAGATCGAGTAGATGAAGAGGAACACGACAGAGATGGCCACCACTGTGACGGCCACAAATCCAGCAATGAGAGGGAGATAGTCCTCTGTAATGAGCCAGAAACACAAAATATCAAAAGATGAGAAAATATCATCAACATTTCACCTTTCATCAAGTTTTTTGCTTTTGAAAGTTGTTCTGTTTTATGGGAAAGAGGGACACTTGGACGTGTGACTTTGAAATGAGAGTATTTCAATGGAATCATCGGTTCATATGTCCAGCACTGAGGACCAGGAAACAGCAGCCATTAACATAAGTTATTACTGGGGCTCGAAAATAAGATGTTTTCATATTCTTCTAACCATCTTTTTAAAATCTAAATCAGTCGGTGATGTGTTATAACAACAATGAACTCACATGAAAAAAGATCCTAAAAGCAGGGCAATCAGTTCAAAGATAAGTGACTAGAAAACATCTGTTCGCGTTGAACTTCATTGTTCTTATTTCTGACATCTGCTAAATATAAAATATACTTGCACATGTGCAGCACCACCCTTTGCCCCTTCAGACTCATAAATCTAGATTTTTTTGCACGTCGAAAATGAAGCAACAGTTTATATGTGACCAATGCACACATATTGCTTGACTTTTTTGTCAACTTAACAAGAACAGAACCTGACTTGGTCTCCTGCGGTTTGCAGCTATAGAATGGACATTCTCCGCATTTTGAGGAGCTCTTCTGTTTGGCACGGCCGAATAAACATAACGGAATAAACTCTGCAAACTGTTGTCCATGAACTTTCTAAAAGATAAACAGTGTCAGAGACAAGATGCATAACTGCTCTCATCCTGAGGCCGGAGTAATGCGGAACAGCGGAGTCACGACACCTTCGTGACTCGTTTCGATGTGCACGAAGCTGCTCCACAGCTGCATACTGCCTGCTCTCCCCCTGCAGAGGTAATCGCTGCACCAGCTGTACCAATGATGAACCGTGGCAGGAGAGGTTAGTGTTGGGTTATCAACTCTGAATGCACACAATGTAATGATGTTAGAGGGGAGGAGGGAGATGTGCATCTCACTTCCAGGCAATAGACATTAGGCGGCCCAGCCTTGACAATGCCCCCCCCTGACCCCCCGCCCCTTGCTCTTTTTTGTTACTGCCTGTATTTCAATTAGGAAACAGGAAACTATTATAGTTTTCTAAATATTAAGGTTATCCATTCAAATAGACACAAAAGAGCTGCAGAGGCTGCGTCGTAAAATAAATTCCTGTTTGTCCCGAACTGTTCGCTGGCTAAAAGAAAAATCTGCTGGCATTCACTGGTGTGTAAAACATCTACAGCACTCTCCTCTAACAGAACTATGGCTATTACATCCTCACAAAAGAATTACCTTTTAAAAACACTTGAACCGAGTATGTGGTGGAATTCACAGGATTTTCAGCCGTGCAGGTGTAGAGGCCCGGATCGAACACGCTGAGTTTGCCACCGGACCCAGTTTGTGCCGTGGGTGAGCTGTGAATCCATGTAATGTTTGGAGGCGGGTTTCCATCTGCCTCACAAACAAGCTCCTCAGGATATCCTCTGAAGAGTGGGATTGCGTCTGGAAGCTTTGTGGTATTAATCTCTGGCTGATCTGTTGAAACAGAGGAAAAGATAGTGAAAGTGATAACAAGTCATTTTCAAAACGACCCAAATGAGGCATGCTTAGCTTGCTCACTCGCACAGAGCAACACAATGAAATATTTATGTAAAACTCTCACACATGACGCTGATATTCAAGGGCTGGGACATCGCGTTTTGTGGAGACTGTTGTTCACCGGGCTCAAACTGAGCCTCACATCTGATTTGGAGTCCACTGTGGGCTCTTTTCAGAGTGATGTTCACGGTGCAAGAGAAATTTCCTGGAAGTCCAACCGAGACACCTTCACAGCTGCTGGTATTTGATTCCGCTGAAAAAAAGGACAGAAACGTTACCCCAGAAAGACGAGAGTATTTTTCCCCCTAAAAAATGTCACTGAGTCATATAGAGGATAGCTGAAACATGGTTTCCCGCACCAAGTTTAACGGAGTCCTTCCCTCTGAAGCCCCACACGGTCAGGTTCTGGACCCTGATGGGTCCAGAACTGACGATGTCACACTTCAGCTGCAGCTCTCGGTCCTCCACCACTAAGTTTGTGTTATACATGGCACGGATGGAAACATCCCATGTTGTTTCCACAGGAGAGTCTGGAAAAGGAATATGGATAATCACAAGACCAGAAGAGGTTTAAAAATAATAACACAGTAGACACAAAAAGGCGTGAAGCAACCTAATGTAATGGAAGTTTGAAGACGCCCGGCCTTTATGGCTGTCTGCCAGTAAAGTTAAGATCTATTTTGTGGTGGTCTGACATTACACGCCCTTAACATGCACTTTGTGGCGTCCCGCTGCTTTTGTGTTGGAACACCATTGCGTTTTGAGTTATTTTAATTTGGCATTTTCATGACATGGAGAATAGGGAGGGAGTGAGAAATGTTATTCCATAAACGGTCTTCAAACGGCAGTTCACATAACATTTCCTTTCCTTTCACATAATATTTCCTTGCAAAGTCCTGTAGTTTATCAGGTCCATAAAGCCACAAGTCCTTAAGTACAATGGAGGCAACAGGAAAAGGCTCAGGAAGGATATACCCCTCCCCTTAGGGCAGTCTGCACTTGCTGCCCACCATTCTTTAACTATGCATCCCAGTTTAATGAGTCATAACCGAACCAACCCAAATTACCTAAATCTGACAAAATATTCTTAATAAAATAGCAGCTGTCACCATCATTTCCAGTACTATTACCACCACGGATATTTATACCCCACTGAAATCTCATAAAATGAATGTCGCCCTGGCAGCTCTCTCTAAATATGACTGACTACCGCACATTAGGCCCTTTTAAATCGAACTTTAAATCGAAAACGACTCGTTTGAATCCAGCCCTGCGGGTGAAACGTGAGGGCTGGGGGCTCCGGGTTAGGGGGGGTGGGGGTCAACTTACGCGACACGGTCCCGTTAGACGGCGGCGCCAGCTGTAAAGCCAAGATGACTGAAAGCAGGCGAAAAGCGGCGAAATCCTCCATTGGAAAAAAAAAACAGTCGGCCGTGCAATTTTTCCCCCCCCAGCAGTTGTCGCCCCCCTTTTTTCCCCCCGCAGTCACGCAGAAGTTGGTCCCGCTTCGGCTCGGCTGCACGGCGCGAGCCAGCGGCGGCTGTGTGTGCTAACTTTTTTTTTTTCGGACGGAAGCTAAGCTAAGCTAAGCTGCCGTTCCTTTCTCCCACCCAACGCTGGGCGCTCTCTGTCGGCATGCCCACACACTCCCACTGTGACTATAAATGTTGCAGCTCTGCTCAGCTACTAGTCGCTGTCGACATATTTGGGCAGCCGGTGAAAGGAAGGATAGAGTCAAAATCGAACAAACGG